GGAAATGCAAATCAAAACAAATTTGAGATATCATCTTACACCTGTCAGAATGGCTAAAATCAAAAACATCAATGATAGCCTTTGCTGGAGAGGTTGTGGAGTAAGGGGTACCCTCATTCATTGCTGGTGGGAATGCAAACTTGTGCAACCACTTTGGAAAGCAGTGTGGCGGTTTCTCAGGAAATTCGGGATCAACCTACCCCTGGACCCAGGAATGCCACTCTTGGGAATATACCCAAGAGATGCCCGATCATATGACAGGGGCATTTGTTCAACTATGTTCATAGCAGCATTATTTGTAATAGCCAGAACCTGGAAACAACCTAGATGTACTTGGTGAATTCTAATGTCAGTATTGATGTGAAGAATACAGTGGCCTATGATGAGTGCTGCTTAGTAACAAAAGCTGCCTATGAGCCCACAAGTGCTCACTTTACAAACATTACAGCTAGCAAATAAAGCTCCCTTTTGCAGGACATTTCACTGTGAAGCATACAGGGAGACAAAGCATAGAGCTTTGGGATGTCAAAGGACACTTGTAGGAACGGGATTGCAAACCCACATTCACGTCAGCTGGCAGAATGACAGAGTGGTCCCAGTCTGGGGTGAATAACAAGGAAGTTAAATTTTCTTACTGGAACCAAATTCGAAGCTACAGCTGTGCTTTTCCGTGAATTAAGTTCTGACCATGGTTTTGGTCTCAAATGCAAACCAAAGAATTATCCATTTAACAAAATCTAGCATCTCTGGTAAGACCAAATAGTTTCTTCTTTACTTTCCTGCATCTGGAGCAGGGCACGTTGCACAATTTCTGCTGAAACCTTACCCTCCTTCTGTCTTGTGGGTCAGTGTTTAGTCAGATGTCCCTCATAGTCCAAACATGCAGAGAAAAGGGAGATTCATTGTGATTTATGCCATTCAGAGCACTCATTTGGGGACAAACCAACCTGAACACATAGTAAAAGCAGATACTGAAAGAAAATAAAAATAGAAAACAAGCACCGAGTCACCACGAGAGCAAACACAATCGTATCTTGAAAATCTATCACTTATTCAAAGCCTCTTGGAATGTATATAAATTATTCTATTTTTTGCTTCAACTTTTCTGTGCTTCTTTGAAACAAAACTCTGTGAATATGAATTAAATTTAGCATGTTCTTACCAACTTCTAATGATTCTCTCACATCCTAGTTGCTAGGCAGCATTCCAAACTCCAGCCCTTTTCTGATTTCTCACTTTAGACACAACCTACTAGTCCGTGTCTGATCTCCATGAAGCCTTACTCATTAATATTTAGAATAAAAGCATCACTAGTTATGATAGCTTTTTTCCAGGTTCATGCCATCCTTGGTTAATCAGAAAGTAAATAAACATAGTAAAGCTATTTGCTTTAGGCCAATGAATTGTGAGTTAGAGATATGTATTTCTCAAACTCTTTTTTTTTTTCTGATTTGCATCCCCTTACTAGCTTAGGTTGCTATTTCCCTGCCCAGATTGGTGATGACTGCAAGAGAAAGTCACTCATCACACTGTCTATGACTCTGTTGATGGTCCTTAAAAGTTTCCTGGAACGGCCATTATTGCCAGGACCACCAACAGGTCCATGAGTTGAACGTTTTCTTTTATTATTACAACTCTTTTACTGAAATCAAAAAATAAGGATATTTTCTCACTAGAATATTTAAAAGATAAAATTTTTTGTATGGGTGTGGCTCTATGTGCATGTGTGGACAGATATCTAAAAAGACCAAAAAAGGGTGTTGGATCCCCATTAGCGGTAGTCATAGACAGTTTTGAGCTTTCCAAGATGGGTGCCTTTAACTGATGGCTCATCTCTTCATCCCATTATTCAGCACTTTTAAAAGTACAGATCTTTAAAAAAAAAAAAAAGGACACAGTTTATCACAAGCCAAATGACTAAAAAAGAGCCTGTTACTTCTTAACCTCATAGTTTCCTTGGTTTAGCAATAACAGCATTGTTCTTTATGTTCTGGGTCTCACACAGCAATAAGATAGGAACTACCGAGGTATGATTTCTCATCTGAGACTCAGGGTACTCCTAGAGACTCATGTAACCATGGGTAAAATTAATTCTTTGTGACTGTAAGACTCACAGTGGAAAAGTGTCTTTGCCTTAAGAAAACCAACTTTCTATGAAAAATTCACATAAATAAGTAATTCCTACCTGGAAAAAAATCCTTTTTACATTAATTTAAACACAACTTCTTTGCCAATAATGGGAAAGTCAGCACACCATATCTACTTCTTATTGACACTCAGTGATATGATGAAAGGTATTCATAACAGAGTAAGGGAACCTGGAAATTCTAGCTTACCACAAAAGGCGTCCCTTATTTCCTCTCTGTTTTCAGTCTTTCTGTTAGGCATTTGGGATAGACATCTACTTGTAGAATATTAAATTTAGAAGAGATATTTGTAAAGACATCAGGTAATGACAGTGCTATGCATTATGACAACCAAGGGCTACAACAACTCAGCAGAAGGGTCGTACTGATCCAGGATGAGAAAGAAATAGAAATCAAGTCACAAATTCTGGAATCAAAAACGTATTTAAAGCTGGAAGCCTTTAAAGAGAAATAAGCATTGATGGAATCAAAGGAGAAAAATTAGCAAGCAGTCAAAGACATGGGAATGTTCAGAAATAAGATTTTATAAGATTTTAGCAATTAAGTCTGAGTACAGCAAATAAGAACAAGAAAAGTTGGAATTTCCATTGAGATACTGAATGTCATGCTATAACCATGAACTAGAAGACACATGAGAGTCTTAGGAAAAGATATTAGGAGATATTAGTATGTTGTATCACCTTGATGGGCATGTAAAAAATACCATCACTAGGAAAAGAAGATGTTCCAGTAGGACATTCCAAGACTGAGGCCAGCCCTGAAGGAGTAGTGGTCAGAGCAGTATCATAGGGAGGAAGAGAAGAGGAAGCATTATGAATAGGGGGTGGATGACAGTTCTCTGTGTGACTGATAGAAGTATGGCAAGAGGCCAGAAAAGCTTCTCTTCTTACAAAGGATATTCTCGGGGTTTATAAGGGGTTGAAAAGAATAGGGGAGATTTACCAGACTAGGGATGGGAAAGAAGTGATTCATTTCATGTGGGAATCATGACCTTTGAGGTCCTTGTGAAATAAACAACAAACAGCTCAATAGGCAGTTTTATTTCTAAATGAAGGCATAAGCACATGTGCATGCACACGCACAAGTGCACGCAGACACACACACAATCTGAAGCACTGGAGAGCACTTGCAGATCTGGATTTGGTAGTCTGGAGTATGTAAGTATAACCTAATCCACATTACGATACCCAAGAATGATACACAAAGTAGCAACTATGATATGGTCATAATGGGATGAAATGGGGAAGGAGAAACAAGATGCTTCAAAGCCACTAGAAAGGTAACGGTCTAATAATAAGGGAGAATAAGATAAAGCAGGGTCACCCAACTCCTAAAAAAAATATAAATAGCACTCTTAGGACTACAGTAGAATAAGGTGAACACCAGGAGTTCCTGGTCATGAGCTATGAAATTGAGCCATTGTGTGCCTTTATTAAATTAATTTAATAGAGTATGGGAGAAAAAAAAACTCCTTAAAGTTGTATGATCTATAACTAGAAGTGGCAAAAGAGAGATATAAACACTGACTATTCCTCAAGAAACCCACTCAAGGAATAAAGACGCTTGAATTGTAGATGTGGCACCAAATTTAAGAAAAGTAAAGATTATCTTGGAATATGTTTAGTTTTATTTAATGAACATACGGAAAGAGATATTAAGATAGTAAAATGAGAGTGGATGTAAGATAGCATAAAAAAGATGAGAATCAGAGTACAACACAAGGACTTGGTCTGGAATCGAAAGTAGGATCTCATACTAACACCAAATGAGAGAATTAGGATTTTGCTTGGACGATGGAATCCAACCCAAATTACTAGAGTTAGTTTATTTGAATTAAAATTAAAATAAGATAAGGGATAACATTATTTTTAGAATACTTGATTAGATGTTGTCTAAAACAACTTAGAAAAAATCTATAGAGAAAACCGTGATGATTCACCAAAGACTCGGTGTCTTACAGTAGTTAATGCTTTACAAGTATGAGCAAAACAAAAGCATACATAGAGTTACAAAGACAGACCAGTTAGCCTCAAGGTAATTTCTGAGGCTATACACAGAACGAGTCCTGTTTCTGGATGTTAGTTTTTCTCCAATTGCATGCCATCTTGTTGACCTGGGAGTGAATCCTGCACAGAGGTGGCGCTGACTGAGTGATGACTTCAAGAGTCAATGATCATCTCAGAAATCACATTGAAATGAAAGGTTGAAGTTTAGCTTCTAGTATTTAAAGAATCCAGTTTTCATGGTTAGATACAAAAAAAGTCAAGCTAAATACTATCTCCTTTGAAAAATCTCATGCACTTCTTTTTCTTATGTGTACCTGGGATTTCTCTAGCTCACTCATGCTCAAAACATACCACAGAAATAAGAAAATCTGCATTTTATTATAATCTAAAATAACCGTTTCTTAACAAATCTCTTCATATTAAATCTCCCTCTTGAATTAGCTATGGTATACTTACTATCTAGAAACTTTGAGGTGGGTTAGTTTAGTTACAGTTTCAATTGTAAATAAGTTTAAAATACAGCTAAGATCTTTTTCTGCCTTTTAAAAATTATTATCATTCTTTCTTGGGGAGCATTGCTTCCATATATATTTTAAAAATAAATATTCACTAGTTATTCATTACAAATAAAACACAAAAAAACTGATTATAGTGGCACAAATCTACAATCCTAGTATGCAGGAGGCAGAAGCAAAGAAATTATTAGAAATCTGAGAGAGTCTGCTATACATAACAAATTCTCGACAATCCTATAGGGATATTCTATATTAGAGAACAAAAGATAATTTAATTAACTTAGAGTGGGTCCATGATTTAAAGATAAATGGTGTCATATATCATACACTATACAAATTTTCATTAAAACTCCAATTTAAGTAGCAATAATATTCAAAAACATAAATTTCCCAGACAGTAATTTAATAAATTATTTGAAACACAGGCAAACCTTTAAAGACAATTTGATGTGCTAAGCCAAAATATGTATTAAAATACGAAAGAAATAAAACCACTCAAAAGTATTTCTTCAAGGAAAAATGTGGTGTGTTTCCTGAAGACACAGCATCAGACTCAACATTCAGCGTGTGTGTGGAGCTGCTCTGATATACAAGGGTCAATTGAGCAGAATATTCACAGAAGGAACCACGTTTTTGTCCCATTGTTCACTCAAAGTTGATCATAATATTAAAAAAATAATAAAATCACTAAATTTCTAGAAGAAATCTGCATTCTTGGAGTCAATCAGTATTTATCTTCAAATCCATATGATGTCTAAGTTCTATTGACAAACACTTGCCGTCAGACTTTTCTTTGGTCCACCAGCTCACTAATAACAACACAGAGACTTATTATTAATCATGAAACCTTGGCCTTAGCTTAGATTTGTCCCGCTAGCTCTTATAACTTAAATTAACCCGTTTATTTTCACCTACATTCTATCGTGCGCCTTGTAACCTCATCGCTTCACACTGCCCATGCTGGTTCCTCCATTTCTGGCTGGCGACTCCACCTTCTTTTCAGGGTTCTGGCTCTGCCTGGACGTCCCACCTCTAACTCCCGCCTAACTCTTGGTCGTTCAGCTTTTCGTTACACCAATTACAGCAGTTCATTCCCTCGCCCTGTACAAATATCCTACAGCAAACATTCTCTAAAACTGCTTAGAATGAAATAATGAAATGAAAATGTGGAGTTGTCGTCAGATGTCACAAGTTCCCTGACTGCTGTTTTGTTTGAGCTCCTTCCAGAAAAGTCACTTCACTCTTCCTCATATACCTGCACCTGACTTTCACAAATACCTGAGCCTCAGCATCTTTCCTAATG